CTGCTATGAAGATACCTGAAAATGTGGAAGTGACTTTGGAACTGGGTAGCAGTAGAAGTTGGAACAGTCTGGAGGGCTGTTACAGAAAACAGTAAGATGGGGAAAGTCTGGGACTTTCTAGAGACTTGTTAAATTGTTTTGATCATCAGTTTAGAGGGCTCAGAAGACAGAGAGATGCGGGAAAGTTTAGAACTTCCTAAAGACTTTGTTAAATGGTTTTGACAAAAATGCTGATAGTGATTTAGACAATGAAGTCCAGGCTGAGGAGGTCTCAGATGAAAAGGAGGAACTTATTGGGAACTGGGGTAATGGTCACTCTTACTATGCTTTAGCAAAAAGATTGGTGGCATTTTGCCTCAATTTTAAGATCTGTGTAACTTTGAACTTGAGAGAGATGATTTAGGGTAACTAGTTGAAGAAATTTCTAGACAGCAAGGCATTCAAGATGTGGCCTGGATGCCCTTAACAGCAGACAGTCACCTGTGTTCACAAAGAGATAGTCTGAAATTGAAACATGTTTAAAAGTGAAGCAGAGCATAAAAGATTGGAAATTTTACAGTTTGACCATTCAGTAGAAAAGAAAAGAAAAGAAAAACATTTTCTGGGAACAAATTCAAGCTGGCTTCAGAAATTTGAAAAAGTAATGAAAAGTCAAATGTTAAATGTTAATAGCCAAGACAATGGGGAAAATGTCTTCAGGGTATTCCAGAGACCTTCAAGGCAGCTCCTCCCATAACAAGAATAGAGGCCTAGGAGGAAAAAAATGGTTTTGTGGGGCAGACCCAAGGCCTTACTGTTCTGTGCAGCCTCCGGACATGGGAACTTGTGTCCCAGCTACTCCAATTTCAGCTCTGATGAAAAGGGGTCAAAGTACAACTCAGGTTTTTGCTTCAGAGTGTGCAAGCCCCAAGCTTCACTGGCTTCTATGTTGTGTTGGGCTGCCTGTGGGTGCACAGAAAGCAAGAGCAAAGTTTTGGGAGCCTCCACTTAGATTTCAGAGGATGTATGAGAATGATTGGATATGATAGGTAGAAGTCTGCTGCAGGGGCAGAGTTCTCATAGAGAACCTCTGCTATGGCAATGCAGAGGGTTATACGGAGTTGTAGCCCCAAAAAGAGTTCCACTTGGGCACTGCCTACTGGAGCTGTGAGAAGGCAAGCAGCCACAGACCCCAGAATGGTAGACCACCAACAGCTTATATTGTGTACCTGGAAAAGCTGCAGGCACTCAATGCTAACCCATGAAAGCAGCCACGGTGGCAGGACCTGGCAGAGCCACAGAGGTGGAGCTTCAGAAGGCTTTGGGAGCCCACCCCTTGCATCAGCATGCCCTGGATGTGAGACACAGAGTGAAAGAAGATTATTTTGAAGCTATAAGATTCAGTGGCTACCCTGCTGAATTTCGAACTTACTTGGGGCCTGTAGCCCCTTTGTTATGCCCAATTTCTGCCACTTGGAATGGAAGCATTTACCCAATTCCTGTACCACCATCATATCTTAGAAGTAACTAACTTGCTTTTAACTTTGCAGGATCATAGGTAGAAGGTACTTTGCCTCATATGAGACCATGGACTTGGATTTTTGGATTAATACTGGAATGAGTTAAAACTTCGAGTAACTGTTGGGAAGGCATGATTGTGTTTTGAAATGCGAGAAGGACAGGAGATTTTAGAGGGACCCTGGGCAGAATCATATGATTTGGCTCTACATCCCCACCCAAATCTCATCTTAAATTTTAATTCTCACATGTCAAGGATGGACCAAGGTGGGAAGTGATTGGATCTGGGTATAGTTTCCCTCATGCTATTCTTGTGACGGTTAAAGTGCGTGGCAGTCCCCTCACTCCTGCTTCCATGTTAGATGTGTCTTGCTTCCCCTTCTCCTTCTGCATTGATTGTAAGTTTCCTGAGGACTTCCCAGCCACGAAGAAATGTGAGTCAAATAAACCTCTTTTGTCAATAAATCATCCAATCTCAGGTGGTTCTTTATAGTAGTGTGAAATGAACTAACACAGATCTTGACAAGCGAAAACAAAAATAGCACCTCTAGTGCAGTACAACTTGACCCATCAGTGGAGACAACACTTTCTCTTTAGTTACCAGAGTATTTTTCTTTCTCTAATACTGGTGCAATAAAAATTCACAAATTTATCATTTTTCTTGCTGTAAAATTATTATAAATATGCATCTTGAATTTTTGCTAGATACTTTTAGGCTTTTTAAAATTTACTTGCTTATACTCTTAAGTGTTAGCATAAGATTTTATATAACTATTATTTTATATAACTATTCTCAGTAAACCTTCACTTCTACTAGGAATATCATTCTATTTGAAACTTATGAGAAAATATTGTTTGAAGCATGGTCAATTTATGTGGTCTTTATGACATGATTTTTTTTTCAAAGTTCAATAGAGCCTCCTTTCTTATACTTTCATAGGTTCAAACTGTAGAGGAGTCATTCACCTGAATGAAAGGGTAATACAGAATGTAGTAACCGGTCATCCTAGGAGATCTTACTCTACACCAGGCTGTGCTAATCCTTGAACCATGCTGTGAATATATGGAATTTATTAATTCAATTTAAAATATGCATTACCTATCTACCCTACTATGTAACGGACATTTTAAGGAATTAAGTAGTATAAAAAAAAGAGGTAAAAAAGATATTTCCTTTCCTTCAAAGGTTAACTTATAAATAAATCTATAATTACTTAAACAAAATGTCACATAAATAAATATAATGTGCTAAGTTTTATGAAGTGTAGATAGAGAATATATTAGGAGACATCAGGAAAATACTCCCAGAAAAAAAATATTATTTGAGCAAACGTAGAGAATGAAATTAAGTTAACTAGGAGAACCAAGGAAAGATAGAAGAAGAGAAAGGATTTCAAAACATAGACAAAGTTTTGTGTTTGGAGTGGATATGGAATGTAGACATGGCTGAAGGAAGGTCAGTGTAAATGAATTAAAGCAAGTGAGGAAAAGCCCTCAACATGTGAGGTCCTGTAGACGCCATATGTAAAAAAGTGTTGATCTTTATCCTGAGAACAGAGAAAAGTGATGGAAGATTTTTAAGCAAGAATGTGTTTTTAGTGGGAAGACTTGGGGTTTGGTGGAAGTTGATAAGACATTTTGTTGGTCAGACTTTACCTTCATTTTACCAGGATTTTACTTATCAAGAACCTTAATTCCATATAATTGCAAAGATAAATATTTTTTCTATTTTACTAGGTGCACCGAATAACTCTTAAATATCAAAGCACTCATATGCACACAGATATCTAGATTTGCATGTATTCAAACATGATATTTTATGCATAAATTTTATGCATAAATAACCTTACCTTTCACCTTTTTTTTATATAAGACAGAGTTTTACTCTTGTTGCCCAGGCTGGAGTGCAGGAGAGCGATCTTGACTCACTGTAACCTCCAGATTCTGGGTTCGGGTGATTCTCCTGCCTTAGCTTCCAAAATAGCTGGGATTACAGACATGAACCACTACACTCTGCTAATTGTTTATATTTGTAGTAGAGACGGGGTTTTACCATGTTGGTCAGGCTGGTCTCAAACGCCCGACCTCAGGTGACCCACCCGCCTCAGCATACCAAAGCCTTTCGCCTTCTAATTCACTTTTTATTACGACAGTATCATATTCTTTTAAAATTTTCAAAATTTTTACAGCAATATTACCTACTTCACAGTCTTAGTTTTATAAACGAATGAAAGAAAGCATCTAATATGTAAGGCCTAAAATTAAAGCCCAACATTAAGTGATGCCCTGACACCTGGGAGAAACCAGGGAACCTCATCTGGCCTAATTGCAAGTGTTCTTCTCCATCCTGCTTCTGTTTATAAGGTTCCCCAGCCACACAGCCTTCCCTATCAAGGAGACCAGGAACAGTTCCTGCTCATCCCTGAGTAGCAGGTTACAGTTTCTTGCCAGCCCCTGGAATTTTTAAAACAAGCCAATCCCATCCTCACACAGGAACTGGAGGTAACTTTAGCTTCTTGGTACTGCAAAGCCTGCTTCCCACAGCCGCTGGTTGTTCCCTGTCTTCCTCAGTGCAGCTCTTGTGTACCCCTGCATGGCACAATGTCTACCTTCCTCTGGCTGTGAATATATGTAACTAATAAACCACTGCTGCCAAGTTCATCTGTTTAATGTTGGATGCCAGGTGTTTAGCCATCTTCATAATCCTCGGGCAGAATCCCTTCATCACAAATGATGTGTGTGATGGCTTGAATGTGTCCTCCAAAAGTTTGCATGTTAGAAAGCTAATCCCCAAATTCAGATGTAGATTAGAGTTGGGACCTTTGGCAGATAATTACGATTAAATAAGGTTACCTGGGTCAGTAGGGGCAGGGCACCCATGATGGGACTGGTAACTTAGTAAGAAGAGAAAGAGAGCCCTGAGTTGACATGCATACCCCTTCTTACCATCTGATGCCCTCCTCCAAGCTGTAATGCAGCAAGAAGGCCCTCACCAGATGCTTGCATCATGCCCTTGGGCTCCTCAGCCTCCAAAACTGTGAGTTAAATAAATGCCTTTTTAAAATAAATTATGCAGTCTGTGATATTTTGTTGTAGAAACACAGAATGAACGAAGACAACCTGAAGATTATTAAAATAGTTTGTGGGGGAAAAGCCAGCCTGTGCCTGTGAAAGTATCTGAAAGATATTAAGTGATTTATAAATATAAATCCAACCTCTAAATTAAGCTAGGTCTCCCTTTTCCTGCCCTTACAGTACTCCATGCTGTTTTATAGATGAAAAAACTGGAGCTAAAGAAATAAAGTTGTTTTTCTGAGTTTATACAATTACTGAATGCATTACTGAATGCTAAAACTGAAATTTCAAGCCCTTACCTGTCTAAATCCAAAAATCATACTATTCCTATTACGGCATATTGCAGTCATTTGTCCCACTTCAAAGGTCACTAACAAGCAATGGTAAAAAATATATCTTTTTAAAATATATTTTTATAGGAGCAGAGGAGCCGCCACATCCCCTCGCCCAGTCCCCTCGCCAAGTCCCTCCGTTGCTGCCAAGATGATGTGCGGGGCACCTTCTGCCACACAGCTGGCCACCGCCAAGACCCAGAACATCTCCCAACAGGTGACGTCCCAGCTTGAAGGAAAAGAGAACAAGAAGTTCCCCGTGTTTAAGGCTGTGTCCTTCAGGAGCCAGGTGGTTGTGGGGATGAACTACTTCATCAAGGTGCATGTTGGTGACGAGGAATTTGTCCACTTGCGAGTATTCCAAAGTCTCCCTCACAAAAACCAACCCTTGACCTTGCCTAACTACCAGACCAACAAAGCCAAGCACAATGAGCTGTCCTATTTCTGACCCTGACTTTAGACAGGGTCCTTCCACCAGAAGACTGGTAATTAAGTGATTAACAACCACTACTGGCCACTCCAAAAACATACCAAATGGTAAAGAGCATCAACACAATGAAGAAATTGCATCAACTAATGGGCAAAACAGCCAGCTAACATCAAAAATGGTAGGATCAAATTCACACATAACAATATTAACCTAAATGTAAAGGGGCTAAATGCCCCAATCAAAAGACACAGACTGGCAAATTGGATAAAAAGCCAAAACCCATCAATGTGATGTCTCAGGAAACCCATCTCACATGCAACGAGAGATAGCATGGGGAGAAATGCCAGATTAGCTGATGGGGAGGAAGGCAGCAAATCACACTGCCATGTACCTATGCAACATACAATCTTGCATGTTCTTCACATGTACACAAAACCTAAAATTCAATTAAAAAAAAGAAAAAAAATTTATATTTTATATATATTTTAAATATATATATATACACACACTTTTTAAAAGAACAAAAGTAACAAAGAAAAATTTTTCCTAAAATAATTTTCATCGCACCCATTACAACCACTCTTGATCACAGGCAAACATTTCATAAAAATGATCTGAACCATCTCTCATAAACCCATCGTTATTTTCCTTTGACACACAGGAATGGAAAAAAGCATTATTTAAGGCCTAACACACACACACACAATCAAAACACACTGCTAGCACCAGACCTCTATCATACATCTCTGCAAGTAGTGGTAGCACCTCTAAGAAGAAGAGAAGATCTAGTTCAGGTCAACTGATACAATTAAAGAGAATGTGCAGTCATAATATTTTGACTGTAAAACAACAGAATATGTTACTACTGTTACAACATTTACATTTCTACATGACATCATTTATTTGGCACCTTCTAACTTGGCCCAATATCATGGAAAGACATTTGAAGGAGCACAGTATAGTCTAGTTCCTCAAAAAAAAATTTAATAAATGATCAGTATTTACACTTCCCTGTGTCTGTAGTGTGCACAGTAAACACAGGTGGAGTATCTAGAGCACACTGCTGTACAAACACCTTAAAACAAAAAAGTGCCAGTGCACCACAATGTTTCAGTTTTGTTGTTCAAAATAAGACCTGGAGTTCTTTGTCTCACCACCAAGATAATTAAGGAATATGGCCACAAGGGTGATGTTGGAGCAAAAGTTTAAGACGCAAAAGGAGAAAGCTCTCAGCAATGGAGAGGGGGCCCAAAATAGAGTTGTCATTCTAAAGTTGAATACTTCATCACTGTATATTCTTCCCCTTGTTGATATCCCACATGTCAGACCTGTACTGTCAAGATCCCCATACCACCCTCAGGGGTTCAGTGATTTACTAGAAGTACTCACAGAATTCAGTAAAGGTGTTCTACTCATGGTTATGGCTTATTGCAGAAAAATGATACAGATTAATATCAACAAAGAAAAAAAAGGCACATATAGGAGAGTTCAAGAAAGAACTGGTACAAGTTTCCAGTTTTCCTCTCCACAGAGAGTCATACAGACAACACTTAATTCTCCCAGCAATGATGTGTGACAACATATAGCATGTATTGCTTACCAGAGAAGCACACCTGGCCCTTCTTAGCCAGGGTTTTTGTTTGGAGTCACTCACATAGGCATGGACCTCATGTAACTGACCTTAGTTACTTGATCTTTAGTCCCTTTCAAAGTCAAACTGATAGCATTGCCCAAGGCCCCACCATAAGTCACAGTGTTAGCATAAAGTACCTGCCAGAGCCCAAGGCCCCAGGTATACAAAGAAATACTTTTAATGCGCAGTATATTTCAAGGGACATTTCAAATGTGATCTCTCAGAAGCCAGTCAAGAGACAGTCCTTTCTTTGGAATGTACAGTGTTGGAATCTTCCAAACCTGATGAATCAAGATTTTATTGCACATGGACATTTGTTGAATACTGAGTGAATTAAATGTGAGAAGTTTTAGAAAAGCAATGGACAGAGTGCTTTAACAGTATATAGTAAAAGGTTTAGCTTAATTTATAAAACCACAGAAAGTCTTTCTGAGGGTATAGGTTTGGACTGCAAGCTGGAAGACAAATGGAAATTACCAAATTAAAAGATAGCGTATGTGAAGAGGGAGTAAAAATGGAGCTGCCACTTGTAGAAACAGTGTACCAGACAAAGTGAATAAGCATCACTGAAAAACCTGGAGACACACTTATCATTTTAAAAATACTCTTGAACCACCCATTCTCTATAAAAACACACATTGATGTTTACAGAGAAGAGGAAACGCTGCATAAATTTCTTTCAGATGCATCATTTATATTTTATAGCAAGAGATAACAATCCCTTCCTTTGGCTACATAGTTTAGATCTGCTGTTTAGTTTTCCTTGGCAGTTCATTCACACACAAAAAAAAATATTGAGATTTACTATGTGCCAGACCTCAAGCAGAGTACTGTCAATATAGCAGTAAACCTCACTTTTTGCATTAATGAGGCATTTAAAAAGAGATCATGGCAGTTTTACAAATTGTGATACCATAAAGGAAAGAATAAACTGTAAATGAGAATAACCTGTGGAATCAAACTTCAATCATTTCAATTGGGGTGGCAAGGACATCTTCCTGAAGGAATAACATTTGCACTAAGATCTAAAAGACACAGAGGAGTTAACCAGAAAGATCACAAATGGAATGTGGATTAGGGATTTAGCAGCAGTCCTGGATAAGAGAGCTCTGGTCCATGGGAAGACCCAGAATGTGCCACAGAGACAAAAGGAAAGCCAGTATTTCTCAGACGTTGTGTATAGGAGGAAAACTGGTTCAAGACAATAGTGCAGTGGAAAATAAGGGCCAAATGATGGAAGTCCTTCTGGGCTATAATAAGAATATGCCTTTAATTTCAAATGTATGGTGAGAGTAGTTTTAGAACTACTCACTGTCTGTTTGGAAAAGTCAGCTAAGGATTATTGACAGCTGCGAGCTCCACTCCTGGCCTGGACCTGCTGTTGCTCATTCTCCAAAACACATCATGCACACACACAATATACAACACAGACTTTGTACCCTTTAAAGAAAGAGAAGTCAAGCAATATTTACAGCCCACACTAGCTTTGGGACAGAGAGAGGCCCTGAGTTTGCACAACGATCATTCTTTGAGCCATATTCCTTGGACAGATAGGGTTAGATCACCAACAATGCTAAATGTATAGCTTCATTTAAGATGAAGACTTCTCATGCTGCACTTTCCAACTCCCAGTCCTGCCTCCCTTGTGCAGAGTTACCCAAATTGGGCCCTGAAAAAAAATATATATTTAATGGGGCCTCAATACCTATCTGTTTTTGAGAAATATAAAAAATATAAAAGAAATATTTCCTGTATTTAAGTGGCTTGGAACATAGTAGGCAAGATAAGATACGGACAGAAAATATCTCAAGTTCAGCCCCAGAATACAGCGAAAGTCATAGGATGAGATACACATCCTTCAGAAGAGGCAAGAATGGAATGTGATCAGACATTGCTTCTCGAAAAAAAATAATAGAGTCAACTCAAATATGGAATAGCTTCCACAAGAGTATGAAGTAGGTAAATGTGGATAATTAGCAGAAGCTCTTAGAAGATAAAGATGGCAAGGTAGATGGATTGGTTGATTTTAGCCACTACTGATTAAGGCAAACTCGTGCTTCTCCCCACATTTGCTAAGAAGAGTTTAAAATTTCTCCTTTCTGTCATGAGAAACCATACACAAAATACCCTTTGTCATTAGAGTAATCTGAGCAATAGCTTTAAAGCAAAGCCAGCCAAGGAAACTAAAATTGTTTAAAAAAACCTATATCATATACTACCAAAAACAATGGGAATATCTTACATTAGCAAAGTATTTCGACTATGATTTCAAGATGCCAAAGGATAAAAGATGTGTGAACCTCATTGCAACAGGGAAAAAGACTAACTGAAAGTTCTTTGAATGAAACAGCAACCAAAGGTAGTGATTGAAAGTCCAAACTGCTCACAAGATAAGTTTCTCTGTGGTGCTATTTACATTGTGCTATTAAATTTTTCCTAAACAAAACCAGAGACAAGACTTGAATTCCTTGTACTCAAAATGCAAACCCTTTCAAAATGACACTGTGACAGGTTAAATTCCTTATTCTGTATTTGAAGAATTGAGAGTTCCTTAATAGAGGTGGCAACACTGAAGAAACATTAAAACATCAGTTCATCTCATTTTTATTTACAGCAAGAGAATTTCTTTCCATCTCCCAGACGTTTTGTTTCATATCGCCCGACATTTTCACCCCTCACTAAGTATTTAGTTTAAAAAAGCAGAGCAGAGGGGCAGACATACATTTAACAAATATTTCTTGAGTACTTACTAAGATCAGGGAATTCTATAATGAGCTAACAAGGTCCTGCTCACACAGCATATGCATTTTTCACAGTTCTCACATTCTAGATCCTTCATTAAAGTTATATTGTGAAAAAACATTTATTACCCAAATAAAAGTTTGTTTGCCAACAGTCTTTCACCATAAAGCACATCAAGAACCTAAACTGCTTTCCCAAAACACATGAGGCTTCTGAGTGCAGGAAGTACCTGTCTAGTATGAAATCATGGGATATTGAAAGAGGTAGAAGAGGACAAAAGAACTAGAAACTGAAGAAAAGGGAGAACAATCAAAGAAAGAAGGGAATTAGCTGGTGACTGTCCAAGACATATTCTGAATGAACGAATTACTGAATGGGAAAAATAAAGAATTGGTGTGTACCATATGTGGGGAGTTAGCGGATTGCATCAACACCACCCCACATATTATAAAAATAATCACAGCATTTATATTTGAGGGACTTGTATTTTTCTTTCCTCCTGACCCTTTGTTGGAGGAATGTCCTTACTGGGGAAGAATAAAGGGGTGTTAATATTCAAAGAGAAATTCTGTTGTCTATACAGTATAGATGCTCCAACCTAAAGAATCTAAATCCTTCTAAACTGATATTCAAGATCCTGATTGTTCAGAATCAAGGGTTGTCTCACGGAAAGA